GTTTTTGACTTGGCGTGGTTTTTTTGTTTGTTTGTTTCTTGTTTTTAAGTTACAGTCTCCCTATGCAGCCAGGCTGGCCTCAAATTCACTGTTGGGTTCAAAGTCATTATGTGTCTTTGGTATACTCTATTTTGTCACTTATTTGGTTTCAGGATCATCTTTAAGATCTCTAAAGTGCCTCATACTGTGTGTGTGTGTGTGTGCGTGTGCGTGTGTGTGTGTGTGTGTGTGTGACTTGCAAGAGTCAGCTCTCTCCTTCCACCATGTGGGTCCTGGGGATCAAACTCAGGTCACCAGCCCAAGCACAGGTTTTAAACAGTCTTAGTTGAACTCAGTGGGAGAGGTAACACCGAGCACCTCATTTACCATCTCAGACTGCAGAAGGCAGATAAGGAACTTCTATGAATTTCATACATACTTGACTCATGTGGTTTCAACACAACTGATTTTATATTATATTGTACACACACCCAGTCTATCCCTGTCAGAATGCAGAGACTAGGCTTGCATAGAGAAGATGTTCCTGCCGGGATAATTATGTGTTAGCTCAGAGCCCATCTTCTCTGAGGCTTTTGATTACTGATACCAACATTTCATTCTCTTAAACAAAATTAAAAGGAAAACCATTTTGAGTTGGTGTCTCACTATGCTGTCTAGCTGGCCCCAAATTCCTCGACCAAGAAATCTCTCTACCTCAACATCTAGGATAGCTGAGAGACAGGAGTACACCACCATGTCAAGTCAAACTTTTGTGCCTTTTCTACTAAAGCAAAGCTGGTGTTATTAAGGTAAGGTTTTAATATCTATTTCAACATTAAGACTGAGAGATGGAATTGGAATTGTTTAAGAAAAAGATACCTGTACATACAAAGGGCTGGATATGGGCTTCTCAGGAGAGAGAGTTGCTAAAAATTTTCGTTCTTATGTAATCATTAAAAGCATTGTTGCTTTTCCCATTTGTTTTCAACACAGACATGACTTTACAGGAAAGTCCTAGACCTACGTCTGTGTCTTTGGTATACTCTATTTTGTCACTTATTTACTTTCAGGATCATCTTTAAGATCTCTAGAAGTACCTCATACTGTATAATATATTAAGTATTTTTCAAAAATACTTAAATATAAAAATAAATATTTTATTTTTTAAATTTTATTTTTAAAAAATATTTTATTTTATTGCACCTGTGTTGTGAAATGTTCAGAGAGGTCAGAGGACAGCACTGGATTTCCCTGAAACTGGAGTTATGAATGGTTGCCAGCCTCCATGTGGGTGCTGGGAATCAAGCCTGGGTCCTCCGCATGAGCAGTCAGTGCTCTTAACCACTGAGCCATCTCTCCAGCCCCGGTATATTAAGTATTTTAAAGACACATTTTAACATGATGCTGGATTTTATTTTGAAGAGCTCATGACAATTCTTAGGAGCTATCATTAGGGTACTGCTACATAGAGGGGCTAGAAAGCAATCAGAATATTCCTATGTACAAAGCAACGGTGGTGTTTAAAAATGCTTCTGTGCCTCCTGTCAACGTCAGGACTTTTCCCCCACTAAGCAGCCATAGATGGGACAGTTCAATAACAACTGCTGGTTTGTTTTGCAGGAAAAGAAGTAAACATATCACCAGGCTGACAATATGTTTAGAAAATTCTGGGAACCAACAAGAAAAAGAACGACTAGATAAAGGGCACACTCTTGTAGCAGGGAAAATTTAAAGACTGCAAATTTTAGGGATTATGGTCATATCAAGGATTACTCAGGGGAAATGTCCTGAGCCTCCACATTTGACCAGGACGCCTGCTGCAACTCACTTCAACATTATATACTTCCTCTTTCTTCAGACATCTCCTATTATTTATTCAATGCATGCCTTCCTTGCTGGAGGTCAAACTCTTGGTGCCAAAGATAATACAAATGATAAATACCAAGCATGAAATAACATTTTAGAGGGTTTCCATAATGCAAGAGCTCAGTTGGATTTTTCTTCATAGCCCCAAGGGAGAGTGAGCTCGTCTATTTTGGATCTCATGGCCGCACATGCCCTGGATTCTGCGTTTATCCTGATCCATCTCAGGTACCACATCTGTAATCAGCATCACTGGCCAGGGTCTATCAAATTCTTGCTTACTTTTGGTAACAAGTGTTTCTCTAATAATCAACAAAATGCCCATGGGCAATGAAGTAAATCTTCACTCATTCAATGGCTGCCCACTCAAATACTTCCTTGTCCTACCCCCATCTTATAGCTTCTGTTCCAGGGAACGTCTCCTTCATGGACAATTGCCCTTATCTGACAGATGATCCTCTAGACTCTGCTAGTCCCAGCGTCTAAGTATTGGGACAATAACTTAGCGCTGTGCTTTCAGCATTCCTTAAGTAATTAATATGCTTTTAAAAAACAAAGATGCCATGTTTTATCAAAATAATTGCTCATAATTTCTACTAAGTGTGTCAGGCTTCTAATTAAGAAACTGAGTCTTAAGTCAGGTTTATTTTAAAAATCTGTCTCTGTCAAGCTTTCTCTAGACGTTCTATAACAGTTAAATTTAAAGCAATATTTGTTCTTCAATACTGTTGTGACCTTCTAGGTGATCAATAACCATACTTGGAGGCCTATGCTGATATGAACAAGGGGTCAGGGGACCAATATTTTGGACCCCATTCCCAGATCAGCTAAGTCCCAGCGGTCTAAGGGTTACCTGAAAAGATCCTACAGTCTGGTAAGTAACCTGTCCCCTTAATCAGAAAGGGCTTGGAGACCCAGAGCTGGACTCTAACCACTGTACATTCTGCAAAGAGTTGACACAGAGGGAAATGCCCTCAGTGCTTCCAAGCAAAGCTGCTCAGTCAATACTAACTCATCCCAGCTGTCCTGGTTAGCCTTGATTGCCAACTTGACACAGCCTAAAGTCATCTGAGAGGAGAATCCCGCTGAGGAACTGCCTGTAGGCATGTCTGTGGGGTATTGTCTTGATTATAAATCAACACAGGAGGGCTCAGCTATTGTGGGTGGTGCCATCCTTGGACAGGTAGGCCTGGGCTGTATAAGACAGCCAGCTGAGTGAGCCAGTAACCAGCATTCCTCCAGGGTTTCTGCGTTGGTTCCTGCCCTGACTTCCCTCAATGCTGGACTGTAACCTGTAGTGGAAACACGTCCTTCCCTCCCCTATGTTGCTTTTGGTGTTTTGAGTCACAGCATCAGAATGAAACGAGGACACCAGCGGGTTACACAGCTGATAAAAGGCTAAAGGAGCCAGACTCCTTACAGGTTCCCAATGGCCCGAGGACCAGAGGCTGAACTGGCCTTAACAACAACAAAAATGTTAATTCTAGCTACCTGCATGGTCTTAAAACCCAACAGGAAAGTATAACTACAGATTAAAATCATTAATAATAATACAAAATGACGAAAACTCAACTAGACTTCAAAATGCTGTCTGTATTATCCTGATAATTCTGCTAATGTCTCCTTTGTCTTACAGGGTCTACAAAATCAGACTACACCAAACACTGCCGTCCCACTGGTAAACAGCTTTGCAGCTGGTCTCTGGACCTGCATAGTGAAAATGGGTTGTCTATTATAATCTTAGTAGTGATCTCTGGATCTTGTGTACACAACTGATGCCTCAATTTTATCCACTTTTGTTTACAGCTGGTCCTATGCCAATCAAACTCCATCTATCTGGGTCCCCTTGATCACCCTCCAATGCCTAAAAGTCAAGAGTGGAGACCCTACGTTCCTCTGCACCCTCATATTTGCCAGAAGCAGTCAGAATGACTCAATGTCTGTCTTCTAGGTGGTTTTAGGATCTCATCTTGAAGAGGGAATGTTAGTTAGCTAGACAGATATTAGCAGGCTTGGGGGTCATTAAGGAAGGACTCCTCCCTCAAAGCATCCTTCATATCCTTCAAAATTTCCAGACACCAGAGGTTGCCTGGAAACAACTTGGTGAAGAAACTACTCTTGTCTAGCGGAAAAGAGCTAGGAGGCCCGCTTTCCACCTGTCTAATAGAAACAAAAGTCAGGAGTGTTAGCCAGAACATCCCACTTTGTTAAATTGTCCTAAATTTTTGCTCTCCTCACCCTCAGAGCAGATTCTGCCTATAGGCCCCAAGTTAACACACACCTTCATCTTCCCTGACAGGCAGGAACCGGAGATAGCCTGACTGTACGCATGCACTATGGACTGCCTGTCAATCACATGGTGTAGAGCCTCCCCTTCCTCTAAAATGTGTAAGAAAGGACCCTCCCTCAGCCATGTGGGCCTCATCTCTCCTCAGAGCCCCACCTTGCTTCTGTCTGCTTGTTCAACGATGGCATTAACAACCCTTTTAATTTCTTACCCAAACAGCAATGTGCCTCAGTATCCTCCTTCAGCCCCAACTCCGAAACCTTTGACCATCTATTCTTTAACTTTGGGGCTTTCCAGCAGTAAAAAAATGCCACCAAAAGTTGGGCTGCACGGCGGAGATAGCTGTAACTCTGACGAAGCACATAGAGCCAGTGGTGGGTTGGATCTCTATTTGAACATGTGGAAAATCTTTTCAAAGATAATAACTCTTTTTAGCAGGGCAGAGAATAAACAGTTTGTCTAAGCCATCATCATTTACCACATCTCACTCTGAGAAGGACCCATTTTGTCTTTCTGCTTTCTAGAATGGTTAAACCACACCATCTCAGCTCCTTGCCCACTCACTCAGTCTATGAACCAGGATTTGTTCATCACCAACAAAGTAGAACTAATCACCTGTCAGGCAAGTCTGAGGCTCTGAGTGCCTGTTCTGGAAATGAAATAATGAAAAAAGTGCTTTGTCAATGTAGAACGATGTTCTAAAATTACATTATTGCCAACATAATTGTTGTCTCAAGATTTGAGTTTTAAGTTAGCACGTTATTTGTAATGCCTAGGAGCACAGCTGTCACACACGGGACCCTGTGATGAATTATAACCACAAGTTTCTGCGTAAGTCAGTCTACATGTCCAAGTCCATGCCAATGCTTACCTTGGGAGGTTTTCTTCATGATGCGAAGGAAAGATTTCAGTAGCAGAGACACAGAAGGTTGTCCACACAATGGTCATGTCAGAGGGACGCAATGAAAGAGAAAAGAAAACAAATTCAGCAACTTGGCAGTGAGATCTGCAAAATCAGAAGGCAAAACTCAAACAAATGAGTTCCTGAAGGGGCAAGTCACAATAGCTCCACACGCATAATGGCTTTCTTCTGTTCCAGTTTCACAGGACGGAGCCAGAAAGGCATTCAGAATCGTATTTTGTTGTTGTTTTGTTTTGAGACAACATTTCAGCTCCAGCTAGCCTGAAACTCGCTGTAAAGACCAGGCTGGCCTGGCCCTCATAGAATTTTGCTTGCCTCTGCCTCCTGAGTGCTGGGATTGCAGGTATATTGCCACCTTGGGTTTATGCTGTGCTGGGGACTGAACCCAGGGCTTTGTGCATGCTAGGCCAGCTCTCTACCGACCAAGCTATGTTCCCAACCTAATTTAAATTTTCTTCACATTGTAAAGATACGCATATTTTCCTTTGATAGGCACACACACTCTGATATTTATGAGAATTTTCCATTTCAAAACATGGTTCTAGATGACGTTTCACCTATTTCAACACTGAAGAGAAAATTAAAGCAAGTTACAGCCACTCCCTCACCATCAACCACATAGGGTTTTTTTGGGGGGGCGGTCTTTTTGAGACAGGGTCTCCCCATAGCCCCAGCTATCCTGGAACTCACTATGTAGACCAGGCTGGCCTTGAACTCACAGAGATCCGCCTGCCTCTGCCTCCCAAGTGCTGGGACTATAGGCGTGTGCCACCACGCCCGGCCCACATAAGTATTTTTTATACTGTTAATTTTTTCAGTGCTGGGAACTGAATCCGGGTTCTCCGCAAGAGCAACCAGTGCTCTTAAGTGCTGAGCCATCTCTCCAGGTCTGGTGTATTCTTGATCAGCTTCTGGTAAGATCAATCCACAAATGTAAAATTATTGTTGAGAAATGGGGAACTTTTCCTAATCTTTCACAGCGATCAGAGAGAATCATGGGAATCAGAAAATTTAACTTGAGTATGGTGGCACGTGCCTGCAATCCCAACACTTATGAGGCAGAGGCAGGAGGACCGCCATGACTTCAAGACCAGCCTGGTCTACACAACAAATTCCGGAGCAGCCAGGGCTACATAGCAAGACTGTCTCAAAAAATAATCAGTAAAGCTAAGCTTCAGGGCAGAAGGGCATGGGAATCAGGCAAAAACAACATTGAGTTTTCTCCAGCATTCGTCCAACAATCCCCATACAACTCTGAGGGCCCCAGCAAAGTCCAGAGCTCAGAAGCAGGGGAAGGAAGTCCATGGATCCAGACAGGTGTGATGCTCTCTCTACATTGCTCAGTGTAAGCCAAGGTCATGAAATTCCTCTTGCACTGAAGCTGAAGCATCATTTTCTTGGAATTTCATGAATTAGCCAGAAGGAAACAAATCTTCATGTGTATGTCATTACCTCAGACAGCCAGGCACAGTGGGATGTGACTTTTGTCTTCAGGCTTTTTGTCCAGTGTAACTGGCATTTCTGGCTGTTATCAGGCAAGTCTCAACATACTAGCAAGTCCATTCAAACAAGACAGACACTTATAGATGTTATAATAAAATTGCACACGTGGTTTTAATTCTAAGAAAGTCATAAGTTTCCATTCTATACACAAAGCTTGAGATGTCGGTCATGGAAATTTCCTTGAGCTGGAATGCATCTGGTTTGAGCAGGCAGAACAATTATGAAGACTTCACACCCTGCACCTTTGATGAATCCTTCTTTTGCTTCACTTGATTTATTTTAAATATTTATTTATTATTTTAATTTTATGTGTATGAGTTATTGCCTGCATGTATGTAAGTGCACTCTTGTCATGCAATGCCTGTAGAGGTTAAAAGAGAGTGTCGGATTCCCCTGGAACTGGAGTTACAGATGGGTGCTGGAAACTGAACCTGGGTCCTCTGCAAGAGCAGCCAGTGCTCTTTACCACTGAGCCATCTCTCCAGCCCCACTTTATTATTTTTGTCTCTTAAATCACTGCTTTATTTGACAAAGGGAAGTCACTTGGGTTACATTACACAATCACACAAAACAGCATATACCAAGGTAACAAAATACAGTTGTCCTTGATTATCCATGGGACAGATCTCCAAACTGATGGATGCAAGTACCTTATATAAAACGGCATAGTGTTCGCATATAACCTTATGCACATCTCCCTGTATGCCTAAAATCATCAAGAGTACCTAATATAATTAAATGTTATGTAAATTGGTGTTATGTTATATTGTTTAGGGAATAATGAAAGTCTACATGTTCAGGACAGGCACTTTTTTTTCCCTGAATATTTCTGATCTGCAGTTGGTTGCTGAGGATCTAGAACCCACAGACACTGAGGACCAACCACACACTTTCCCATTTTATTTATGCTGAACCAAGGAACCCAGTGGGAGGGCCAGGCCAAGGGGACTCCCAGGGAGCCCACCAGAGTAGTCATGGCTACACAGTGCTCGTCACCAGCAGCAGAGTCGGCACTGGTTCGAAGTCAGTGGTAGCCAAAAGTACCACCATCCTCTCTCCACTGACATTCCAGAGAGATTATTCTCATTCCTCTTGGAAAAATCAACCCCCTAGAAGTCTTCTAAGCCTTTTTCAAGTGCATTCCTTTCCCTTAGGAAGACAGCAACTTGGAAATTATATCTTAGGAAAACCTCTAACTCTGCTACCTTCTTTTGTGCTGACGAAGAACTGTTTTAGGAACGAGTGGAGACCGGGCAGCAGGGGAAAGGAAGCCACAAGCTCTGTGCTGTGACCCAAGTCTACTCATCATCTGGTCTAGAAAAGGACTCTTGTTAGAGAAGAAAAATATCTTGTAGTGCACTGCACATCATTAACTGGTCATCCTACTGGGGAGTGTGAACTAGGTAGTGGGTAGTTATGGTGCCCTAAATCAGAAACGCAGTTTACTGTCCAAATCCCTAGAAGTTATTAGACAAATCAGGGGAGCCCAATTCTCCCTGGGGAGGAGGTAAGCATTGCTGGAACATTGTTAAATCCTGTTGTAGCACTTGATGCTAACAAGCCTTTATAGCTTACAGCTTTGGCATAACCCCACCCCCACCCCACCCGCCTCTTAGAGAAAGGGCTGGCCTTGAACTCTCAATTCTCCTGACTCCTCTTTCCCAGTGCTGTGATTATAGGCATGCACCACCGCACTGAGCTTCAAGGCCAGCCCTTTTAATGTTTTTCCTGTAAATTCACTAAGATGTTGGAAGTCAGTGTGGTTTGACTCTGTAACTGAGACCTACTGAGGTGTTCCAGCTGCCCTGACTACCGGCTAAGCAGCCATTGCACACCCTCATGCCAACCTTGCTGCTCTGAACACTCCACCAACACCTCGAGGAAGTTATACAGCAACCACAGCTGCCTCAAACAATCACGAGCCTAGGCGTCCAACCTTTTGGCTTCTCTGGGACACATGGTCATCTACAAAGTTCATGCTTGAGAACCATGCCATTCAGTTGCAAAGAAAGGAAGGAGAATACTTTGTGTTGGCTACATTCACAACTATACTGGGCCACATATGACCTGCGGTTGACAGGGTGGGACACCCCTGGCCAGGAGAGATCTGACAGCTATTTTTACCCAGGCCAGAGAAGAGCCCTTTCCCTGATGCCCAGCAGAAGGCCAGGGTCTTTTGATTGCATGTGACACTGTGCAGAGATTGGTGTGACAATTCACTTACACACACACACACACACACACACACACACACACAC